GTACATGAATTGTTTAAGCAACATTGCATCATCATTCATGTATTTCTGAAGTCCCTATGTATGTTTTTACATCTATTTGAAGAAAGGGTAGGTAGGTAGTATTTTTTGGCATATTTATGACTACATTCTCTCACTGGAAAAATCATTGAAGAAAGGGTAACTGAAAATGCTTGGTATCTTAAAGGGGAAAACATAATTCCATTCACCATAAAGTTTTAAAAATAATTTTTAAATTTATTATTTAATGAAAGGTAACATGGAAATATTGAACAATAAATTTTTATGGTTATATCATTTATCATGCTCTTTATGATAAGGCCTAATAATATACTGAGTTCAATGTAGAATCATTCCATTTTAGCACTTTAGGACAGACATATTTGTTATGAAAAATAAGCAACGGATGATGTGAAATCATGGTCAACCCAATAAAAAATAATTTTTTTTCTTTTTATGAAAAACTCATAAGCTATATCTGATTGAACAAACTCTTTGAATGCATAAGAATAAATATTTACAGTGGCCAAGGATAATAAGTTCTATTTTTTCCACTTTTTGCTCTTTTGTAGCTGACCTGTGATTCTATGTAGAGGAATGAGGTGATATTGGGTTCAAGGGCAAGGATTTTGTTCTTCTTGCTCAGTCTCTTAAACTCATATTTACCATAGAACCCAACACATGTTCAATAAATGTTCTTTGAATATATTTTATGCATATATATCACATATACATATAAAATACATAATCAACTAATCTTTATTAATCAGTCAAAGCATGCTGTTTGAACATGCTCTGAGTTTAATATGAAAATGGACTCTCTGAAGGAAGCACATGTGTTCTGTATTGAATTCCCTCTTTCCATTCTTTCAAACACTATTTTTTCAATTTTGTTCTTTGTGGGATTGAATGAATAAAAGTTAAGTTATTTAACATTAAATATTTAACATATAAGATCATTTAATATGTTAATGATAAATTGGTGATTAATTTGTTTTAAAACTTAATGATTCAAAATATTAATTTTATGAGTAAATATAATATAAAATTATTGATGAATTCCACTTTTAATGAAATTATTATTATTAAAATACAAATTATTTACTCAGTCTTTGAACAAACATATATTAGGTACTATGTGTCAGGCAATGTTCCAGGCAGTTGGCATACAACAGCGAATAGAGATCAAACCTGGGCTGGGGGTGTAGCTCAGCAATAGAATGTTTGCCTAGCATGTACAAGGTCCTGGGTTAGATCCCCACCACTGTGAAAAGAGAAAGAGAAATAAAGGCTTTCATGGAGTTTTCATCTCTATGGCCAACAAGTAGAGAATGCACGAACAATGTGTGTAGAAGTGATAATTCATATGGAGGACAAAAAATAAAAAAAGCATGGTGCTTATAGAAACTATGAAGAAGTACTAGTTTATTTAAGGTGGAAAAGCGCATGCATTTGTATACATACTTGAATGAAATGAACCATAAGGATTCTTTTGTATACATACTTGAATGAAATGAACCATAAGGATTCTTTTGGAAAGTCATTCCCAACCGAAGGAAGAGTAGGTAAGATAGATTTGAGTGGGGAGGATGCTTATTATGTTTGAGGAGCACCATAATGTCTGATATTGCTTAAGCATAAAAGAGAGTATGTATAGGCCATAATAATGGCTTTGAACTTCATTCTGACTGATATCTGTAGTCCCTAGAGAAATTAGAACATAAATGATATGATCTGACTTACACTTTGAAAGTATAATTCAGCACCCTGGGGTTGGGAAGGATAGGTGGACAGACAGTTTCACAAGTGGTAAAACCAGTTAGGAGTATATTTCAACAGTTGTGGTGGAGATCATACTGGGATAACAGAGGATTAGTTATGCTGTTTATGCCAATTGCCTTTGACTGAGATATACTCAATAACTACCAACATATATCTCTGATATGTTAAAAATAGACAGGGGTAAATAGAAAGAGAGAGAGTGTGTGTCAAGGAGGAGTCACAGATTTTTGTCTTGAGTAGTTGAAAACCTGGTGTTGACATTTCCTAAGAAGAGGGAAATGGGGAACCTGTAGTATAGAGGAGGAAAACAAATGCTGCGTTTTAGACATGCCAAGTTTCAGACGCATATTAGCCAAGCCCAGGATGAGGCAGCTAGCTTCTGCATTAAGTTGGTTTCCTCTCTGATCCCAGTAGTCAGGAAGCAATTTAAGAAAGAGAAGTTCATTCTTTTGCCTATGGATCATAAATTTCCTAACCAAAACAAAAGATCTATTTTATTCTGCTCTGTGAGTTTCCTTTGATACTTGGAAGAGGTAAAAAACATTTTATTCAAGTATCTCATTTCCATTTTATTGTTATTAATTAAGATTAGCCTAAGCACCTGAACATAGTAACAATGATAGTAATCATGACCATTAATTGACTTTTTTCATTGTACCAAGCACTCTTCTCAATGTTTTATTTCAGTCCTTCCCAAAGTCATATTTTATTTCAAATGTACCTCATGTGTATCCAAGTCCTAGAAATGTCAAATAATTTGCCTGTGGTTACAGGGCCTATAGGTTTGTGCAACCCCTCAAAATTTGTATGTTTTTATAAAGCATTTGCAATCATACCATAGTTTTCTGGCACAAACCATTTCTCTTCCATATGGATTTTTCTCTTATAAATAAAAATGAAGCAATATGATGAAAGAAGTGTTTTTCTTTAAAGACAAAATGTTTCCCTTAACTGAACATTAGTGTACTGCAGCACACCTTGGTTACTTCTACCACTGAGAAAATATTTTTCTGCTCATTTGTGCTTTACTGTCCCAAAGCAGCTATTGCTGGCTTTCACATACCTAAAAATATGTCTCTCCTGCCTTCCTCCTAGACATTCTGACTTCCATTGAGCTTCCCACCCTGTATCAGACACCTACTATAACCCATATCCCTCAAAGTTCTGACACTTTTTATTTAGATTTTTGACCACTCAGCAATATTCTTCTACTGAACTATTGCTTTGGAGGATGTAAAAATCCCTTTACAATTCTGGCTGTCATCCCAGGAAATTAGCCATGAGAAACAGGGTTGGTTTGTGATAATAAGGAGCCAGATTACTACATGTGACTAGGAATTGCAAGCAGCTTTTGCTTATTGTTTATAATTATTTATAATTATATTTATATTGTTTATGATTCTGGACATTTGTAATTGTAGGTAGGGATACTTGCTATTAATGATTTAAAATTAAAGTTATTTTAGGGGAAAAAAAGAGAAAAAGTTTTTGAAAAATATTTAGATACCTATTTTACCAATCTTTTCTATCACATCTCTAATATTATCATAAAGTGAAATTCAAGCACATTTGCTGATTAGGGAAATCTTTCTGGACCTATGAGTTTACTTATTCCCTTTTCACCTGAAGCAGTATTCACCCAGCCCTACAGATTGGCTATGTAACATTAACTTATATCTGTTTTACTCAGCTTTTCTGCTGCTGTGACTAAAAGAACTGACAAGAACAACATTTGAGGACAAAGTTTATTTGGGGGCTCATGGTTTCAGAGGTCTTGATCCATAGACAGTTGGTTCCATTCTTTAGGGCTCAAGGTGAGACTCAACATCATGGTGGAAGAGTGTGATAGAGGGAAGCAGCTCACATAATGATCAGGAAGCAGAGAGATTCCATTAGACAGATATAAAATATGTACCCCAATGGCATGCCCCCTTGTACCCACCTCTTCCAGCCACATCCTTACAGACCTTCAGTTTTCACTCAATTAATCTCATTATGGGATTTTAATTTACTGGTTGAATTAAATCTCTCCCAACCCAATAATTTATCCTCTGAACTTTCTTGCATTGCCTCACATAATGAGCTTTTGGGGGACACCTCACATCTAAACTATAACAATATTTCTGCCACCAACCCCTTTAAGTCTCTTACTCATTTGTATTCTATTGTTGTTATACTTTAGGGTCAAGCAGATCTATTTTGAATTTTAGAAGCACAGCTTATTTTCTGTGTCATAATAGAAAAGTTACATAATCCTTTGATTTGCAAGGTTTTAATATATATATAAAGCAAATATGAAGACACCTACTCTGAATTATTGTTGGGTACATAAAAAGGATTAAAGTATAAGAAACACAGTATAGGAAGCTGCAATACAGCAGATGTCCAATATTCACTATTGTTAGATTTTGACATGTAAACAAAATACATAATAATTTATAAGTCTGATAGTAAAATATTTTCTGACAATTACTTATAAGGCAACTTTTGATATGCACATATAAATATTTAGTTTTCATTAGAGATGAGTGATTGTATGTATATAATCTCTTTCAAATATGTCTTCTCATGCATAAGGGCATTCTCCTTTAAATATTTTCTGAATTAGACAGCTTTGGATGTAAAAAACACAAATAATTTGTGACATTAAAAATAGCTATTGGAGCTTGATACAGTGGAGCATGCCCGCAAACCCAGCAGCTCTGGAGGCTGAAGCAGGAGGATCCCAAGTTCAAAAGCCTCAGAAAATTAGCAAGGCCCTAAGCAACTTAGTAAGACCCTGCTCAAAATAAAAAGGCAGGAGATGTAGCTTAGTGGTTAATACACCTGTGTTCAATCCATGGTACCAGAAAAAAAAAATGAGGTGCTATTGGCATGTAGCATTTATTTGTAATAATGTGAATGATAATTCTTGACACATGGGTTTAACACATTTCAAATAATATAAAAATTAAAACTTCAAAGGGGAACTTGTAGAAAGAACACATTAAACAGATATCATTATGAAATTATCTGATTCATTCTCCAAACATTCAACAGGGTAACTAAGTGACATTAGGAAAAGCAAAATATCTTCTATTAGTCAACCTACATGAAGAGAATAAGTGACAAATGACATAACAGAAAATACAGTTGGGGCTTTTTTCTTGTAAGTTTTAACTCCTAGTGTTTCCTCTAATAACTCTTCTGAAGGATCCACTGATCTCTGTGTTTGTTTACAGGCATTATCACAGGTAACTCTCTTTCTGAGGGTTCTCTTCATCATCCTGACCTTGACCTCCATTGGATTTCTTCTGGATCAAAGGTAAGAACTGAAATGTTTTCATTATTTTTCTCTTTTACTAAAATTAAGAATTTTCCATAAAGCCATGAAAATAATAGTATGTTATGTAACTTTTTAATATAGTTTTAAAATAAACATGAAACCTTGATAACTACCCTTCATTATTTTAGAATAGATAGATATGTCAGTTCTCCTAAGAAACCTTTTTTTTTTTTAATGTAAAGTAAAAGACACTGGATCCGTGAGGGGACTCATTTACATTATGCTCTACAATTTAATTGTCTAATATTTTAATTTTAGCTGAAAATAAGCTTCTTCCTAACCCATCAATGCTTTAACTAAGCCAAAATTTGATAAAGAAGAGATTTTTCTTAAAAAAATAAATTTTCTTTTTTACTTTAATGCCTATTTTTTAAAAAAAACTTCAGAGGGACATCTCAAATATGTTAAAATACTACATATTTATTGAAAATCATAAGAAAATGCAATCTATATATTAATTATAATATATACATATGAAGAGCTTAGCTAAAGCTAATGAAAGTTATTGATATGTCATTTCAGACCTAAGGCAGCTATTATGGAAACTCTCCGTTGCTTGGTGATCCTGATGCTGTACAGATTCGGTCACATTAAGCCTCTTGTCCCCGCCTTATCATTTGTTTTTGAGGTAAGCCATTCACCATAGGCAGCTATAGCATGGATTATACATGGATTGCATGTTTAATTCATTCATTATATGATGTCTCCTCTCTACTTAATTTGTGAGAAGTACTTGTGAGAATTTGTGTCTGTTTACTTAAGTAGCAGTACTTGTTAGTTGTGTTACTTTGGGCTAGCTAATATTGCTGAGCCACAGTTTTCTAGTCCCTAAATTTGGATCAATATTGTTAAGCTTATATAGTTTTTGGAAAAATTTTGTTGCATAATTTTTATAAAGAAATGTCAAGACATATGGCATGTTGTAAGGAAGTGGTAAAAGTGATTTTATAAGAAATTTTTGTCAAGGATTCTACTATTTGAGAATTTTTTAAAACTTTAATTTATTAAATTTTTAATTGGTTCATTTTAGTTATACATAACATTAGGAGTCATTTTGACATAACTGTAAAAACATGAAATATAATTTGCTCTATTCAGTCCCCAGTACTTGCTTTTTCCTTTCCTCTTTCTTCCTTCCTATTCACTTGCCTGTACTCTACTGAACTTTCTGCTATTTATTTACAGTTTTTTAAAATTAATGCCTAACAGATATTCATAGTGGTGAGATTCATTGTAGTATATTCATATATCTGCATAGGAAAGTTGGGTCAGATTCATTCCACATTTTCCCTTTCCCATCCTTCTCCACTCCCCTCAACCCCCTTACTCTACTCCACTGATCTTCTATTTTGATGAAATCACTCAAAACTTTTCTGTTCTTTTCTTCATTGTGGACTTGCTTCTGCATACCAGAAAACAAATTCAACCTTTGACCTTCTGGATCTGACTTATTTCATTTAGCATAATAATTTTTAGTTCCATACATTTTCCAACTAATGCCAATATTTTGTTGTTCTTTATAGCTGAATGATACTCCATTATCTAATTTATTACATTTTCTTTGTCTATTTATCTGTTGAAGGGCATCTAGACTGGTTCTATAGCTTGGTTATTATTAGTTGTGCTGCTATAAATATTAATGTGGCTGCATCCCTATATTATGATGATTTAAAATGAAAAGATATAAATAAATTAATAGAGGTCAAATGAGATTTTCCTACAACTAAATTTATATAAATATGATATATTATGAATAAAACTTATTTCTCGAAAACTACATTGGAATTTCAGATCTTAGGCAACTGTTAAATTTTTTTCTTATCATTTGTATTTTAATAGTGTGTTTTCAAAATCTAGAATTATATTGTTAATTTTGGTGTGGAGCAACCTGCCAGTATCACTAGAATGTGCAACATGAAAGTTTATTTAAGGAAAAAAAAATGCTAACAACATATCACCCTACTTCAAAGTAAAAACTGACATAGAAATAATTATAAATCGGAAAACTCATTTACAAGAAATTTGAAAATATCTATCAAAATTGCAGATACAAATACCCTTGGACTTGGCATTCTACTTCTAGTAATTTATACTCCAGAAATAGTACATTCACACATGTACATTGATGCATAGAAAGATTATTCATTGGGACATCATTTGTAGTGGTATTAGACTGGAAAAAATCTAATTATTTAAAAAAATGTCTAGAAAATAAAGATAAAGAACTCTTTAGTACAAATCAAGAGTAATTGCAATAATATATGATATATTATGTATGAAATAATACATGATACTGAATCACATATGATGTATTCTACCATACAATGTATACAAATATAAAAACAGGTTGAGAAACTTCTGTATATACATATATAAATGTATTTTATTGTATGTGTATTAATATATCTAGGAAGATAAAAATATACCTAACGGTTTTCTGTATGAAGGGAATGATAATTATGAGCTATAAGAAAGAAATTGAAGAACAGTTCTTCAAATTAGTATTCTTTGGAAACAAAGTTTATGAAGCATGGGAATATATTTCACTTTTAAAAAAAATGATGTTTAGATAATGAGGCAAATTCTTAGTAACAGGATTTTGGATATAATCTAAGGTAATATAATTTGCATTAAAATAGACATTAAAGTTTACATAGTATCATACCTATGTTGTTTCTTGAGATTATAAACTAGAAGAAAAATTCAGAAGCATAAATTATACATGTTTAGGAAAATTCAGAAGTTTACATACCAAAATAAGACTTATAATCAAACAAAATAGATTGTCAAACTTTAAATAAGAGGCATATTCTAATTATGGGCATGAAAGCAATTAATTCCATTTAATGAACCCCACTGTTGGATATATGGTAATAGTTAATCTTGCATGCTCCAGAAGCAAATAAAGTATCTGGGTTCTTTAAATTAGCCCTGGTTTTAATCAAATAGGAGTATATATTTACAAAACTTTATTGCATTTGGAATTCTTTAATGATGGAGTGGTAGAGAGCAATATAGTATATGCAGCTTTTGAGTTGATATGCTGTTAATTTCCTAATTTAGTAACAGGTGAAAGTGAATGAGTAAAACATGAGCTTTGAAGCCATGCTGCTTGAATTTGATTCCACTCTGAGAACTTACTTGGTGTGGGTCCTTGGGAAACCACTTGACCACTTAAATAATTGGCTTTAGCTTCCTCATCTGTAAAAGGTGGGAGTAATAACATCTATCTAATAAGGTTTTGAGAAGTAAATGAGATAATATGTGTAAGAAATTTGGCACAGCAATTAACACATAATAAGTGATATTAGGTGCTATTATTATTTTTGATGTTGGTATTATTATTTTATATTAACATGAAGATCCTCAAAATAATTGCTTGGTTTGTCTCAAGAAACACTAATCATATTTAGGGTCAGCTAGTATGAGAAGTGGGAAAAAGTAACAATGTTGAACAAAAAATCTAGTTTTTAGTCTGAAACTCATTGTATGACATTGGACTTTGTGACTAGGTTATTCATCTATAAAACAGGTTTACTAAGAGATAACATCCTTTGAATCCTTTGAGCCCTTATTGTGTTCCAAATGTTTTACTTGTAATTTTTCACTTAATCCTCATACAAAATCCAAATTTATGTATGTATGTGTATATATATATACATACACACACACACACACATGCATATAATTTGTTTGTATACACATAGCTAGTAAGGGAACAACCCAGGATACAGACTTAGGAGCCTGACACCATATTTCTTAATCATCCAGGAACATTTTCTTCTATGTAATGATAGCAGTACTCAACTTCCCTAAAGGTTCCAGATGAGAAAGACAGATGCAATATAGCAGTAAGAGCTTGGAAAATGGAAAAAAAAAAACTATAATAAATGGCTTTTAAATTTAATTGCAAAGGTACTTTTGAAAAACAAGTGGTTTGAATAATTTACCTCTGAATTATCTTTGGTTTATTATTCAAAGAAGGGAGGAAACCATGACACATGTTCTCTGGGTGCTTACCTCCTTTTTCCAGAATTTTTCTGTACATCTTGGCATGCACGTAACTAGTTCTTCAAAAGTAGACATTGCCTGCAATTTGCCATTAAAACTTTTTATTAAATATGCATAATAACATTGACATCACATGGCTCTGTAGTTTGTATGTAGTTTTTGCATTTAGTCAGGCATTGGTTCTGAAGCTTGCTTCTCAGTGTGGCAATGTTGGGAGGTGGTGGGCCTTTAATAGATGGAGCCTAATGGGAGGTCAAGTGGGTGTGCCCTTGGAGAGATTAATGTTGGTCTCATGGAACCTCTGAGTCAGTTTTTGTGAGAGGGTCATCATTAAAGAATAAGCCTGACCACTCCCTAGTCTCTTTGGTTGACTGTCTGATGATATCATCTCTCCCTCTTGTATATGCTTCTGTCATTTGTGATGTTATTTGCCATGAGGTTCTTGCCAGAGTTGAGCTGACCCATGCTGTACAATCTCCAAAACTGTAGCTAAATAAAGCTCTTTCCTAAGTACCCAGCCTCAGGTATTTCCTTAGAGTAATTGAAAATGGACTAACACATACAGCTGTGTGGAAAATTAAATGCCTCAAAGGACATAGGAAGCATTCAATAAAATTTGGTTGTTATCATTGGTTACATTAAGACAATTATTAAAACTAAGCCATTGAATTCCAAATGGTTAAACCTGAACAAGTCTTCTGTGATCAGAATTCAATACATATGTGCCAGAATAAAAACTGGGCAAGTATGTTCCCATGGGTATTTTTACCTGTGAAGTAGCCTTTTCTTTTTTTTGCTTCCTTTTAAAGTTCAATGCATTAAAAATTACTGTCAGTCTCAGTTCTTATATTTTTAAAAATTGTACATTTCAAAATTGCATTTTTTTCACATTCTTATCTATTAGAACTTTATGTAAATCTTTGTCATTCATCATAGTTTTAATAAAACTGTTCTTTGCCCCATATAAGGAGTATAGAAACTTAATAAATGGCCTCAGTGACTCCATTCAATATGAATTAGGACTGACTGACTAGAGTCATTAGACTATAAGGACATAATGTTCTCATCATTTTTCTTTGAAGCTATCACATGAATCCGTGTCAGTGAAGCAATTAATCGCCTTTCTCTTATAAATCAGTGTTGTATATATTGGCAACATCAGCTTGCAGCCCTGTGACTCTTCTTTATTTATCTAGAAGGCTGACTGGAAATTTTCTTACAGTGCTTTATTATGTTAGTCAAACTTTATAAGTTTGCTCATAATAGTTCTTCTATACCAAAAGACACTTCTAGTTACATTTTACAACTGGAATATCTGTCTCTCTTTCTCTCTTTCACTCTCTTTCACACACACACACACACACACACACACACACACACACATACACACACACTGGAAAACTGGCTTTAAATTATTTTTCACTCAAATTACAAAATTGCGATTGAGTAATGACAATTCTGGTTCAGAAATACAAGGTATTATTTGAATTTGATACTGTGACTTGTATGTTAAAGATTTACTTCTTTTAGCTTATGACCACAAGAATACTGAATAAGGGCAAAGGGCTCTTGTTATTTATAAAGGTAATACAGAGTGAATACATAACCACCAATCTGTGTATGCAATGATTATCT